TCGACCCCTCCAAAATCACTGCTGTCACCGATTGGCCTACTCCCACCTGTTTGAAGGACCTGCAACTCTTCCTGGGCTTTGCAAACTTCTACCGCCATTTTGTTAAGAACTATAGCACCATCGCAGCCCCCCTCACACAACTCACATCCAACAAGGTGAAGTTTGCATGGTCCAGGACAGCGGAGCAGGCCTTTCAGGAACTCAAACACTGCTTCACCACAGCCCCCGTACTCCTCCAGCCTGACCCCTCATGTCAGTTCATAGTAGAGGTGGACGCGTCCGACATCGATTAAGAGGTCAGCAATAAAGAACTATTGGCCATAAAGCTTGCCCTGGAAGGTGCCGACCAACCGTTTTTAGTCTCGACCGATCATAAGAACTTGGCCTACCTCCAGTCAGCTAAAAGACTGAATCCCAGACAAGTGAGGTGGGCCTTGTTCTTTGATCGGTTCTTGTTTACCCTCTCTTATCAGCCGGGGTCCCGCAACCAGAAACCAGATGCCTTCTCCCGACAATATAACCCCCCAACTGCTGAAGATACCCCTGAGCCCATTCTGCCTGCCTCCTGTGTGGTAGCCTCCATTACATGGGAGATCGATGATACGATACGGGAGGCGCAGCAACAGGAAACTGATCCGGGGGGGGGGCCAGGGGTTGGGCCACCAGATAGATTATACGTCCCCCAGGCTGCTAGGGCCCAGACCCTCGACTGGGCCCATGTCTCTCGGCTAGCATGCCATCCAGGGGTACAACAAACCATCACACTCCTGAAATGTTACTTCTGGTGGCCCACCCTAGAGAAAGATGCCAGGGAGTACGTAGCTGCCTGTGCTCCCTGTGCACAAGCCAAGCCACTCCATCAATCCCCTGCAGGTCTTCTTCGGCCACAGACCACGCCCAGTCGGCCCTGGTCTCATATCGCCCTAGACTTTGTCACCGGCCTGCCTCCATCCCAGGGCAACATGGTCATTCTCACCATCGTCGACCGTTTTTCCAAAGCTGCTCATTTCCTCGCCCTTCCACAACTCCCCACTGCTTTTGACACCGCCCAGCTCCTGGTTCAGCACGTTTTTCGTATTCACGCCACCCCATCACTATCGTTTCTGACTGCGGTCCACAATTCACCTCACATGTCTGGTCTGTTTTTTGCACTGCCCTCGGAGCACGTCCCTGTCTTTCCTCCAGTTATCACCCCCAAACCAACGGCCAAGTTGAATGGCTGAACCAGGAACTGGAAAACGCACTCCGTTGTGTCACCAGTTCCTCACCAGAGTACTGGAGTCAGTTGTTGCCCTGGGTGGAATATGCCCACAATACAATACCCTCTCTAGTTCCGCCACCGGTATCTCTCCCTTCCAGGCATCCCTTGGTTACCAGCCTCCCCTTCTATCCTCTGCTGAAACAGATATTGCTGTCCCCTCTGTTCAAGCCCACATCACCCGCTGTCAGGCCATTTGGGCAGAGACGAGGGCCACTCTGTTGCGTATGGCGGATCAAAATAAAAGACTGGCTGATCGCCGCCGTCGGGCCGCTCCCACCTATCAGGTTGGGCAACAGGTGTGGCTCTCTTCTGCCCACGTCCCCATAAAAGGAGCACACCCCAAACGATTGCCTTGGTTCCTAGGGCCGTTTACCATCCAGGAAATCATACATCCCACTGCCGTCAAACTCCAACTCCCTGATTCCCTCCGTATTCACCCTATTTTTCACGTCTCTCAGGTTAAACCAGTTTCCACCAGTCCCCTCTGTCCGCTGCCGGCTCCGCCTCCTCCTGCCCTGGAGGTGGACGGTGGCCCAGCCTACACTGTAAGGCAAATCCTGGATGTCCGCCCTAGGGGCCGGGGTTTCCAATATCTGGTAGACTGGGAGGGGTATGGTCCAGAGGAGCGGTCCTGGATTCCCCGCTCTTTTATCCTCGATCCCGACCTTCTCACCTCCTTATATCGAGCACACCCGGGCAAACCTGGGGGGCCCTGGTGATGCCCTCCTTCCGGTGGCCCCCATTCCCGGCTGCACCTTCCTCTCTTGCTTTTCTCACTCTAGTTTTGCTTCCTCACCCTGATTACACAATCTGGCACACCTGCCCCACTTCCCCTGATTATCACCAGCTGCACCTTATTAGTCTCCTCCCTATTTATACCCTGCTCACCGTTCACTCCCTTGCCAGTTCAATCCCTATTTTCAGGCCCTGTTGTGCATTGTTTTTCTCCAGTTTACCAGTTAGGTTTCTCTTAGTCTTCATGTTTTACCCATAGCTTCTGTCTACCCTGGGTCTCTTCATCTCCAAACAATTCATTTCACTCGTCCATTCTCCTGCTGTTCTTTTTTTCTTTTGCTACGGACCTCTCCTCTGGACCCTGGAACTACTCAGCCCTGCCACCATACATGTCGATGCACAGTCTCCATTAACCATCTATGCATGCTCCTGTCTCCTCAGCCATCATCACTTCAACCACGGCCAGTTCAGGAGTGACCCCAGCATCCGCAGCCCGGTCTGTAACCATCCATCACACCACTGACTGTTTATCTCTGCCACAGATCGACACCCGGTTACTCCATACCATTCAGCACCTGTCTGTATATTGCACTTTACGTTACACTGTAAATAAACCTATCACTGCTTGCACTGAAGTCAGCTACCTGGGTCCATCGTTCATTGCCGTGTTCGAGCTAACCCAACAGAGTGTGATCTAGTGCCACTTACTGCATGGAACAACAAACATTTCCTCTACCTCTTTTCTAGTTATGATGCTTCCTGACTGAAAAGAACATTTTGGCCCTTCTCTTATCACAGTGCCACCCTTCACTCTGGCTATTTTTATTGTTTCAGATGTGGGAAGTACCTTTTAGTTCTCGTACGTGAAACCTAAATACATCATTTAAATAGATTCAGTCCTGGAAATAAACACTGTCCTAAGCTTGACTGATGTGTGACTGGGCTGACAGTCATGTTCCTGATTTAGTTGTCATTTGCATGCGTGAATGGAACATTAGTCTCTATGTTTGTGCTCACACACGTGTATGTGAATCTTGTTTCTGTTATGGAGATGACCATTCTTCCAGCAATGCAGTCCCATTAAGATAAGCCTTCTCTCCACGCTACCAAAAAAAATACGTAATTGAGGAAGAACCTCCTGTTGCAACACACACACACACACACACACACACATGCGTGCTCTGCTCACTTTGTTTACTTTCTCTGTGCAGTAGTCTGGAGAGGCCACATGTATTTACTGTATTGAATGTTTTCTTCCACTGTCATTCACATTTACCTGATAAGATGAGACAACAAAGGAGGAAGAGCCAGGGAATGACACACAAATAAAAGCTGAAGTGAAATGTATTCTGAGTATATTGTTATTTGCTAATGACAAAGACAAATAGGGGCAAGGTGTGCATGGGGATAAGAAGTAAGCATGCAGGCATGTCTTTTCTCCCATTCTCGGCCTCTCACTAATACCACAAAGCACATCAGTGATTAAAGAGAGTACATTGCACTGCATACACACATTGCTGCAAAACTAAACAGCTTTATGACTCAGCAGATTTCCAAATTGGCATCATTCTATTCAGTGAATGTTTTACTATTTGTAAACAGCTTGTGCACTCACATTAAGATGTTTGAGACTTGTCCTTGCCTTTTACAGTTAACCTGTAAAAAGCTCAGCAGTGAGGGAACATTTTGGGCACAAGCTAGAAAGCTCAGCCCCTAACCATTTATAAGAAGTTAGCGTAGTTCATTAAAGAGTTGTACTGGTAACATAGGTTCTGAAAATCATTTCCTTGCCTGCTGTAAATATACCATTTTGGTGTGGTTATGGCAGCTGTGGCCATCTGTGAGCTGGGTCAGTGGCAAAGTGTGTAAACCCCATTACTACAGCTTCCAAGTTCATGGTGTGATGCACACTGGCCCAAAAAGCACGTTTCCCATAGTCATTCTCTTTGGAAAAGGAGCAATTGTAAAACAGTAAATAAATTCTGAGCATCACAAACCCCATTAAATAATACTGTTATCAGATTTTGGTCCATTGGGTCCAAAATCGCATGCTGGGATCAAACAGGAAGTCAGTCAGCTCTGCACTAATATGCACGTACTGGTCCTCTGTGGGCCCTCATACATGTATGCCTACGTGTGAGGATCATCTGGGTAAGTTTTATGTCCCAAACCAAAAAGCCTGAAGAATTTGTTGGAGTATGTAATCACCATTGTCATAGGAAGGAATTGGGCATCATGCGTAATCCAGTGTCCAGTTCTCCTTAATACATCTGTCACAGGGTGATAGTACAGTATATGTGTGTGTGAGATTATATAATGAGAGTCTGAGGAAAAGAAGACACTGGGGTCAGCAGGTTGTAAGTGGTGCATAGGGACCTCTCGACTTGTCTTCCAGCAGTTAATAAGGGGATGCAAGGGGTGGTCAACATTCTGCTGGAGCTGTGAAGCAGGGAGGAGAAGTCTGAGATTGGTTCATGCTTAGGGCTGCACTTGCTGCATTGAAGGGGGAGATGCTTTCATGGGAAAACTGATGGGTGAATGTACACGTCACCTCTCTTCTATTTAAGTCTCTTTCTCATATTGGTTTCAAATTTCTGTGTACTGGTAGACCGGCAGTTCCATACAGTGACTCTAAAAGTGCCAGAGACTGATAGCCACTATGTACCAAATAGGAAAGAGCCCTTCCTTTGTGTTTTCATTTTTTTGGTTTGATATTTTGCATTTTTTCATGGATGTTTAACTGTAATGTATTTGGCTAATAGATTAGTTTGACTTATTTTTATTGGGTGGCATAGTTTAAACTTGTCAGGTCCACTTGGCGCGACCTGCCTCTCTTCTGCCTTTCTGTCTTCTGCTCGCTCTTTTTGCAGGATCAGCGCCTTAGCTGTGTCGCTTTTTGTACTTAGTGACTTGTGGGTTATCGTGCACAGCAGGGGCACATTACTGTAATCACCCTCCTACCTTATTTATACCTCTGGCGGATGATCCGCCGTCACTGAAACATTAATTGCTGAACTTGCATTACCTTATCTAACTCGTATATCCCATAACAGACCAATTTTCATGGTATGTATTATACGTCATTTTGTTTTCCACGCTGACAGTTCCTGTGCTGTGGATCTCTGAGTTTGTTTCTTTCCATGTGGTTAGCTAGACCAGTGGTCCCCAACCTTTTTATCTTGTTTCTCTGCAACGAGACGGTCCCATGTGGGGGTAACAGGGGACAATGACACCCGAAGTGTGTTGCTTATGTTCAGTCTACTCCGTTGTTTTGTTTTGGTTGCTGTCACTGCAGAAAAACCCGCTTCACACAGATAGGATGTCGGAAATGGCAACAGGGTTTTCAGTGCTGTGGTGGCGATCTCAGGGTATTCTGTCATGACTTTAATCCAGAACACCGACAGAGTTGTTGTCTCGAACATACTTTTAAGGCCGCCGTCATTTGCGATCTTCTTGCACAGACATACTGGATTCACCTGGTTTGTTGACAAATGGGTTGCGGATCCATTCCTTGGCAGTTCGTGGGTCCTTTGTGGTTGGGAAGTAGCGCTCGAACTCTTTTAAAGGCAAAGACAGGTGATCGTGCACCAGCTGGGAGAATGAAGGCTCAGGCTCAGTCTCACCCAAAATCCCCGCTAATGTTTGAAACATGTCCAAAATGCCTCTGTTGATGCGCCTTCCCCACAAATCCAGTTTGGCTTTAAATGCAGCTACTTTATCTACCAACTTGAAGACAGTTGTCATTTTCCCCTGAAGTGACAGATTGAGTTCATTGAGCAGGCTGAATATGTCGCACAAGTAAGCCAGTTTTGGCGCTCAAGTGACCGAGATGTAACGGAGAGAATGCGGTCATTTTTCAAAATAAAAGATCGTTCAGACTCAGATAATAAATAAAACGGAAATAAGTAATGATTTCTTGTGCGGCCCGGTACCAATTGAGCCACGGACCGGTACCGGTCCGCGGCCCGGGGGTTGGGGACCACTGAGCTAGACGTTCTGTTTGTTATCCAAGCTGACAGTTCCTGTGCTGTGGATTTCCCTTTTTGTCCGCCTGTCTCCATGGTTAGCCTGTCTATTCACCTGTCCGTCCTCATCCTTCTGCTCACCTTAGTCTTGCCGTTAGTTTGTCTTTGTACCTGTTTGTCCTGTTCTCCTCAGCCGTCTTTGCTCAGCCCTGGTGGTATATATTCATTGACTGATACTTTTTTTGTGTGTGTGTTCCCCACCATTAAACCATCTTTTTTTTACTAGCACCTGGGTCAGCAGTCTTGAGTCCTGCCTCAGTTCTCCCTCACCCTCCTGGTGAGGGGGACTAACCATAACAAAACTGATGTTTTTATTTTAAATTAGATAGTGCTTAATAGGGTCCCTGATGGACTAGTGGCTAGGATTCAGGGCTCTCACTGCTGCAGCCCGGGGTCGACTCAGGGTTGCGTCAGGAAGGGCATCCGGCATGAAACACGTGCCAAATTTCAACATGTGGTGACCCCTAACGGGAACAGCCAAAAGTGACAGACGGACTAAAGTACAGATTTACACAACCTTGACTGTTACGCTATTCCCAGAAGCCTGTGTTATAAATCTGATGGTGGCTACAAGTTGGAGGAAATAGTTTAATTGAACTTTGCATTTTATTTCTGTATTTTTATGAGATTTTGAGATTGCATGCAGGTTTAGCCTGTTCTTTTTTTTCTTGCGCCAACCGGTTGAAGAAACTTTAATATAGCATGTGTCATCCAGTGGCATTTTTGTCTGGTTTTTTGTCATACGCATTTTGAGGTTCTAGTTTTCCATTGTTAATTGATGTTCACAGTTCTGTTCTGCTGGACTCTGGATGTTAATCACAGGGCGACTTTACATTGTCCTGTCGGGTCTCTGATCTTGATTGCTTATGGCTTATACATTTGCATTGCCTTGCCTGTGAGTCATGGACATCTCTATGTTTCTCACGCCATTCACCATCATACTGGGAGTTAAGTTTAGGGGCTTTATTTACTTTTGGGTTTTCCAGCTTGTTGAACATGAAACCTTTGGTATTATGGGAAAACGTGTACATATCATGAAAAGTCTACAAGTACCTCTACTCAAAACACTGGTGTGCATAAGCGCCAGCCTCCTAGTCTTGTTAATAAACAAGACAAGGGCACAGCTAATGTTTTACTGCAGAGATAAAAATCTTTACTTCAAACCACTTTCATTTATACTTCCATATTTCTGCTAAAGCTAATTAATTAGATTTTTGGTAGACATCTTAATTGACGTAAAATTTACTGCACTGCAATGGATGATTTTTACTTTTGCCTTACGATGTGACATTATTTATACTGCAGCATCTATGTGGTCCAGATTAGTGCTTTTTAACTTGGCTGATGAGTAAGCATACCTTGATATTTGTTGTTGGTTTGAGAAAAGTCCACTGGGGCCTTTTTCTTCAGTAATAAACTCTGGATGAATTCACTGGAGGGGTATACAGGAAGGTTTCCCAAATCATTCTGCACTGTGCAGGCTTTCAAACACTGGTCACACCAATTCTTTGCTAATCCCTTCCACTGAACAATAAGATTCCATAGACATGGCACATTTGTCAGGCTTTGGATTTTTTCACATGCCAAAGTGGCATGGGTAATGTACTAGTAGGGGTGATATTACTACTAGTGGCCAAGCAGCATTACTACGACCTACGTGTTTATCAGGTGACACTGGCCCAAATATCTTTTTTCCCATAGACTACAGTCATTGGAAAAGGAGCGGCTATAACAGGGTGAATAAATTTAAGTGTCATAAACCCCAAAGTATGACTCTTACTAGAATTTGATCAGTTTGCTCCAGTAACATTTGGAAAGTTAGAAGAGCTGTATGATTAAATGAGACTTTCTTTGAATTTTGAGTTGTAAATCTAACCCACAGACTATAAAACTTGACAGGCATTCCAACAATAGTTAAGCAGGAAGGGGTTAGTGAACAGTCACATAGCTCTCTTTGTTTGCACTAAAATGCACAGAAAAACATGTTCAACTAAGATAAAAGAAAATTCCAAGTACTGTATAAGGCACGGACAAGGGATTGTATGTTGTGCTTTGTTTTGTGAATGAACAGCAGCAAAGGGAGAGTCTGCCAGTGTAGTCTCAGCTTGGGTGCTTGTCTGAACATGTGGAGGATCATCTGAGGTGAGACAGAGTCTGATAGATACTGGGGCAGATGTTTCATTCACCACAGCAGACACTCAGTATGGCTACAGACATCTGGTACTGATACAATGTTAGCTGTCTTTTCCAAACCTCCCTTCTGGATCTAGTCACAGGTGTAAACATAGACAGTTCTCATAGCAACATCTACGGACGGCTGGCAGTGTTCACTTCTGTCAGTTTGTCATTCGGATGAGTGGAGATGTGTAATTATAAAGAAAGGCATGCATATCACTCACCTCTACAGTGTGTACGGTCTTGAGAATCAGGATCCAGAGGTGCATCTGAATATACACTGTGTATACACAGTAGTATGTATAGTACTTTACAGTCTGGTAGTCTCAGAGGCATTGCTCTGTTAATCAGTGCGATCCCTAGAGCCATGCCACTGACTAAATACTGTATATCTGTTCTGTTCTTTCCTGGGTTCTGTTGAATGAACTGTTGGGGAAGCTACTTTGACAATGTAGCTTTGCAAGCTACCAATTACTTCACACTAGAAGAATATGTAACTACAACAAAGCTACTCTAGAGAGAAATGTAGTTTGGTTTAATTAAAGCTACTTAGAAAAAGTAGTTCAAACTACTTTGTAAAAAAAAAAAAGCCACTCTGTTGAGTTTATTACCTGAGACCTAAACCTGTCCTACATTGAACAATCCCATTTAGGATAAAATTCCAAGGAATGTTGTATTTTTGTTGTAAACAATTCTGAATTTTTTGATATTTGACTACTACTAAAACAGTAAAGAAACAATATTGAACTTTTTATACCATTTGACCAACTTGAGCACTCGTCTGTAAAAGCTGACCTGCAGTCTTCCTTGTCAGTTTTGTAACAGCTGACCTGTTCAATCTTAACAGCTACAACAGTGTTCAGCTTGCACCTATTTAGACAGTATGAACAGCTTGAACACTGGACTAAATAATGGGCCTATCTTTTTACTCATCAGAGCAGAATCTCCTGTTTATATGACACATAAATAGGCTCTCAAAGTCCATGTCAAACGGCCGGTTTGTTTGTCACTGACGCTATAGTACCAACAATAAACTTAAAGGCAGCAAGGTCAGATCAGTTCTTTACTTTTGGGCCAAAATTGCTTGTAGTTTTAGTAGTTAACCACACAAAACATGAGGAACTAATTGAAAGGATAAATGTGTTTTTTACCTGCTGTATTTCCCTTAATACTGGGTATGGTGATGCTACCTGTATAGCCAGTTCTAGTTTTGCTATAACTCCATTGTAGAGATTTTGGGCAATGAAAAGTCATATTAAATGGTGTCACTGGGGCAATTGGTTAGGAGTGCTCAGAATAAATATGATATCCAGCTTCCATAAGTGACACCAGTCCCCATGATGCTAGTGTGCTCCCAGTTTCCCGCCCCCACACTTAAAGAAAAACAAGGCCACACACAAACGTGAGAATTTGGATGTGACTGTGCACCTCAGTAACCTGAGTCAGTGAGGGATTACCCTGTGAGAACACAGTAAACCTGTTAACCTGAGAGACAACACTGAAGTGATTCATGTATCCATCACTTCACTGTGGTAAAGTTTCCAACAGTCAGCCATTGCATCATGGCACAGCCTCATTTTGAAAGATCAGTGAGTACAGAACACTTAAACAAGTATCCTTTTAATTTATTCATTTGACTGCTGTCAGTCAGCATGCTGCTGTACAGTTGAAGTCAGAAGTTTACATATGCATCAGCCAAATACATTTAAACTCAGCTTTTCACAGCTCCTGACACTGAATCATATAAACATCCCCTTTCTTAGTCAGTTATGATCATTACTTTATTTTAAGAATGTGAAATGCCAGAATAATAGTAAAGAAAAAGATTTATTTCAGTTTATGTACACTCAGTTGTTATTTGGTAGC